ATTCTTTTATTAAAATATCATTGTCTATATCTAAAATGTTTTGATCTTGTACTGGAAGTGAGGAACGAGGTAAATCAAATACAATTTTAATTAACAACTGAAACAATATAAAGGTGGTGTCTAGCTTATGACTATTCTTTAAGGACATTCGGAAGAAAAATACAGTTTTTCACAATTCCCCATTTTTGCTTTTAATTGACTCATTTACTAAAAATACCAGTGGCACTGTTGCCATTTTGTAAAAAGCGATTAGCGTTTTGAATTATTTGTCGTTCTAAAAACCGGCTATATTTGGTTATAGTGTCCAAACATTATTTATCCTTCCCATTTCATATTGTACAGGCTCATCTCCATAGACCAGCCTAGTTTTAAAATATCCTTTTTGTCTTAGAATGTGATAAAAACTGGGAATGAAACATAATCACAATAGTGAAGAAAAAATTCCATAAAAAAATGTGTGAGTTGAGGGCAGGAGACGAACTTGGCTCTGTGTTTTATCATTCCTCGACTGGACGATATGCCAATATTTTTACAATCAGAGCGCAAGTATTTACGAAAAGAGGTTAAGAATGAGGATTGCAGTCAGTTTATGGAAGAATCGCTTGGCTTTACCATTCACGCGAAGGCTTCAAGTGAATCGTGATCTTTTCGTGAGTAGCTTCAAAACGCCTCTGACAAATGAGTTGATCCATCACAGGGCGAAAAGATCTATAAGCCACATCGAACTGCACAAAACTTACTCTGCTTCCACGTAAATCAGTGGAAAGGGAAAAGCAATAGAATAAAAGTATTAGTATACTCTAGAGTCCTGTACGAATTTATAGTTTTCTATTATAGAAAATTGTCACGATCTTGTAGAATTTCTATACGAACCGCCATACATACATGTGATAAGATCGGAAAGGATCGTAGCGTAGCTGTTCTATGTTGCTCTATTGGTGTCGAATTTTATAAAATTTGTGTAAGAATTCTACTAGGTTTTTCATTTTGTATCTGGTTATGCTTCGATTAAAGTTACACAGATGATATTTCTACAATCAAAAATAAGTCAGAGATATTTGAAGACCACATACCTGATTGAAAATCACAGTACTAAAAGCTGCAGTGTTGCTGAAATGTTTAATATAAGTGAAAAATTTTAAATTGCCTTGAATGGGATCGAAAATGACTTCGAAAAGGTTTCTATTCAAATACCATACACAAGACTAAGGTATTGTGTAACTCCGTTCCTAAAGTTTATATATATTTCCGGACAGGTTCATCGAACCCGCCCATAAGGAAGCCTCACGGCTCACCCCCATTTCTATGGCAGTAGATCACGATCTGCTTCCCGCAGCCTCCTCCCAGCTAATCGGAGTCACTAAAAGGATCTCTGAGTAAATTTTTTAATGGAGAAAGCCCCTTTATATAAATATAAGGTTGCTCATATTCCGCTTTTTCGAATTATACACTAGTTATGATGACCCATCGCAATGAGTCATCGCTCTTTTTGTATTGTTAAACCAAAACGTTTTTTGCGAAAAAATTGTATTGAAAAAACACACGCAATATAACCCACAAAAAGGATTCTGTGATAAAAGACAAAAAAAGCATTAGTTTTTGTTGCTTTTAGCGCGAAAAAATACTGCGTAAGAAAACACATATAGGAGGCATGCATTTTCTGGTGTTGCGTTAGTGTGGTAAAAAAAGTGCGAGAAAACACACATTTCTGCAGATATCTTGAAAAAAATTTGACATGGGTAGTAAAGGTCCTAAAGGTTCTATTATGAAGATTCTAAAATATTCTGGAATCTTCTAGCAGTTACTACGACACTAGTTTTGAATTTAAACTTGAGTGAGTTTGCTGAGTCATATAAAATATGTCCGTTGAAGTAAACGAGATGCATCAGTTGTTCCATTTACTATCATCTGGAACCATTATGAGGAGTTTGAGATTTTAGCACGTTAGGGGCTACTCTGCCAACTGTTATGTATGTATCGAACAAGAAATGATAAAGTACAAACTCTCTACTGTTATTTTCAACAACTATATCTGTAAGTTAGCGTGAGAAACAAAACTTTTACACATATGATTAGGCCAATTGTATTACTGTTTTCTTCCCGAGTAGAATTGTTGTCTTTTATGTATGACTTCTTTTCGACAATCTATAATATGCATAGATTCTGAACTATTATGAGAACTATTTTGTTTATAGAAACTCAATGACGGTATGTAAAACAATAAAGAAATATCTATTACCAGCTGTTGTAATAAATCATCAATAGCTGTAAATGTTTGTCGAATTTTAAAATATTTCTTTAATAATTGACTAGATTCCATTTTTGTATTGTTATCCACTAACAAATAAATATATTTAATTTGTAATAATTTATGAATAATTGAAATATCAGATGTATTATTTAATATAACAAATAAATTTTGTTTTTGATTATTTATAAATTCAATACATTTATCAACATGTGAAAATGATTTTAAATTAATAAATTTATTAACTGGAGTCATTGTTTTTGGATGTAACGACGTATCGAGATGAATAACTTGAACATTTTCAGACCTTAATGTATTGTCATTATATAAATCAAAAAATGCATGCAGTGATTGACTATAATTACGAAGAAGATGGCCTTCAACTGGCAATAAAATTTTTAAATATTTTAAATCACTTTTTAATTTCGTTATTAATTCGTTTTTATTTATAAATATTTCACGAATTTTTGTATACTGCTTACTAAATTTTAATGCTGTTTCATAATCAAACACATTTTGACAATAAATATAAATATATTCAACTTGTTTTTCTTGATGTATAATTGGAATAACAAATTTACCTAATGATGATGATGTAATAAAATAAATATTATTATCTTGAATTGATGTTATTCTTGAAATACAACTACAAGCATCATCATAATTTTCAATAATATTCTCATTAACGGATATCCCTATGTCAACATTTAAACATATTGCTTTCCTATCAGTTTCGTCTAAAAATAAATTTAGAAAACAATAATCAGTGTTCATACAGAGCATATGATCGAGGAACGAAGATTTTTCTGGGTATGATTTGTCAATCTCCATGCCTAAAAAAATCTATTGACGGTTTTGGGCAGGGCTATTTATATCGGAACGGTAATTAGCCGAAATGGGCACGGATAGCCAATTTCCGTGCCAAAAAAAATCTTTGGGCTGTTTTGGGCACGATTTTTCTTCTTAAAGCTCGGGAACACTGCACTCCATTCGATTGAAAGCTGTGTCTCCACAATGTCACACCAGAAATTGTATTACTAATTTCTTTTGAATTTGTTCAAAAAGATAAAATTTATTGAGCCGGCGTTGTTGTTACTTTCTTTGAGCGTTCTCTTTGTCGTATCTCTAAATCTTGTAATCATGAGGGATCTGACACTGTAACAGCCGAAATGCATCATGAGTCACAGTGCATGTTTGCAGACGTACTGTTTCAAGTTTTGCCTGCATGAACACATCATAGGCATTGAGATGAGCCTACCAGCGTACATCCAAGAGGAAAAAGCATCAAAATTTTGCCACGGCAAAGTTTCCTGTTCTTGTAGCCAGATATGGGGAGGAATATGAGCCGGAGATGGGGAGCGAATCGCATGTGTATGGCCATATCAGTACAACAATCGACTTTTGTCCCAATTTTGGATCCGTTTATGAGCATCTTTCTCGTGAGAATAACTGGCAGCGGGAAAGGTCAGAAAACCACGTTAGACTGATGCTTGTGACCGTTCGATAAGCACTGGCACAATCGTTGCCAGAAACGCAGACAGAACTGGTTTGTTTCTGAATAGTTCTGTATTATCGTCCCGTTTAGGGATTCGAGACCGTTGTTTGTCGATCGCGTGTAAATGACAGCTGAATCCTGACATTGCCATGTTCGACGGATGGCCACTGATCCACTGTCACCGTTTTTCGATGACCTCGGCACTTTTTGCTTGCATGAAACCAGCACATTAATCGTCGTGCGTTCGGAAATTCCGTTTTTGCAGCACAACTGATCCCTTTCCCACCGTCGCCCATCAGATATTTAACATCGTATGCTATTCCTAAAGCAAGATAATAGAAGCAGAAAGATAGCAAAATTTCATAAAACAGAAAAGTTATATCTGTCATTTTTAGCATTGTTTGTTTTAATGTTTGAAACAATCGAACATATGCACCAACAGCTTTGTCTGTTGAAATCAGAGCGATGTCATAGAGAAAAAATGCCGGTCCGCATCGCTACAGCCGAATAGCAGCAAAGGTAGTTCTTGCGAGATCAATTTGAATGTTGCGTCGACTTGAAGCAGAGATGACAGAGCACCAAGAGCGATGAGATGACAAGTAGTGAAGAGCACAAACAGATCCTCGGAGGAATTGATTTCAAACTGTGGCACATAAACATCGTGCGGTGGCTGTAAACTGGGCGTAGTTTAATGCAGTTGACACCACTGACGAAAGTCATCAACAGAGTAGACACTAGGCCGTGTTACTAAACGTTGGTATTTCGGCAGACTTATCACCTTTGACGGCGAGACTTGTGCATTGCACTCAATGACAACAAGTTGGGGTTGAGTTTGGCTCAATTTACCAGCGGCCGATATCAAGACAGTTTCACGCACAGGCGAAGGAGCACGTGTGGTTTGAGCACGAATATAATGATCATGAGTGTTCGATTAGAACATAGATATGTCGCTATCAGAATTTAACATCATACGTATCTAGTAGTCACATTTAGGAAATTGTCGACGTAACGAATATCAATGTGTAATTTTCGTACCTGCGTTTACTGTTTCGGTATGAAACTGCGAGACATTTTCTGTTTAATATATACATGAAAATCGTCTTTAGACGAAAACTTGTTCATCGTGCCCATTTCGGCTAATTACCGTTCCCAAATAAATAACCGTGCCCAAAACAGTCAAAAGAGTTTTTAGAGCACGGACATGACAAACCGTGTCCAAAACAGAATTTGTCGTGGTTGAACGAGAAACACTGAAGTTAATTGAAACTATATACAGGAGCACATTTTCGATCATAGAGAATGATAGACTGGATTTGTATTAATTTTCTTAAAGTCACGGCCAGTAAGGGACGCCAATATGACAGAACTAGCTGTTTTTTCTGTCAGATGTAGGACCACACGACCAGTTTTTATTGCTGAAAGATCCGGTATTATCTATCGCGACTTGTAAATTTTCAAGCTTTAGCCACTTGACTCAGAGATTTAAACTCACTTCCTTAACGAATTTATTAGCTACTGAATTTGGCTGATTTTGCAAAACTTGAATGGAAAACTTTGGTGAGCTCCTGTTCTTGTTATAAAGTGCTCATAATAGCTGAAGCTGCTGTCAAAAGCTCATCGCATCGAGAAGCAAAAACTTTTCGATGGAAAATGGTTCCTGTTATAATCATAGAAATGGATATTAGCAATGGCTGCTATGAACTACAAAGATTCCAGCATTTATTCGTACTCATCATGGGTTTAGGAGCATAATAAGTAGGTATGTTACAAACCCAAACCCAAGTCTGGACTTGGGTTTGGGATTGGGTACCCAAGTCTCGGACTTGGGTTTGGGTATCCAAATCTGAGACTTGGGTTTGGATATTGGGTCAGACCTGGGTTATTAAAAGACTCCTTTTAACTGAGATACCTTCTTTTGTTGTGGCTCTTTGAGAAAACAGGATGTAAGATGTTTATTTCGGCCTGTGGGCATACGTAATGCCTTACACTAACGATAAGAGCTCATTTTGGATTAGTTCAAATATCCAACAGTTGAATGTTTTATTCTACTTATCTTGTTCATATCATCCTGATCCTTGAAACAGAGAAAAATACTAAAAAAATAAGCACTGATAACATGCCACAAATATGTTAACAAATGATCGGTGTACACTATAAAAAATGATATAAAAGAATAGGGAAAACTAAAGAAAAAAAGTGAAGTTTTGAAAGCGAAAACAGCGACGATGAAGAGAAAAAGATAAACGAATAGTATGGCAGAAGAGCGTAATATACTAGTGCTAAGTTTCATTGAAGAAGAATATTAATGTACTTTGGCAACTGACCCAAACCCAAGTCTTAGACTTGGGTACCCTAACCTAAACCCAATACACCCAAGTCGCTTGGGTTTGGGTTTGGGTTTGTAACATACCTAATAATAAGGCGAAAAAAGATTTTTCAAAGAAATAACCTAAGAGAGGTAGAAGTCTTATCGAGACATCACTGTGAAAGAAAACTCGGCTCATCGAACTTCACTGAAAATTTAGTGATCACTACGGTCTGCATTAGCTGGCAAACCTATCAGGTGGAACGTGGATATCATCGGCTACTTTTAACGGATAAGGAACAAAGTTCATATAAAACTAGAGCTAGCTTTTAAATAGTATTAGTTAATTGTTTGAGAAAGGTAGTTGATTAAAAAATGTCCTGTTTTTTGCATACTATTCCGCATTATTGCTATTTTGAGTAAAATAATATGAAATTTTGAAGACAATAAAAACTTGTCCTAGATTTGGATGAGTTGTATTTGTGGTAGCATTTTCTCGCATAGCAGTCAATCCCTTCCGATCGAAGCCACAGTTCAGCCCCAGCGCAAGGCCGCTGTTTTTATCGAATGTAATTTAGTTAGAATTTAGTATTTCTCATTATTTGCTCATTTTTCATTATTTTCTTCCCGTAATACTGTAATCATTAATTGTATACTTACATTTTCCAGATAGTAGATTCAATTGAAATGATTGTTCGTTTATATTCGTATATTGATTTGCCGTGACTCTAGGTCCAATACCCGATAAGTGCTGTAGCTCTCTTAATTTTGGTTGCTCGAGTGAACCGCTTTCGGAATCCCTTAAATACGACATTTCAGTGTGTTGAATTGGTCTAGTACTTTGAACTTTATCGGATTCTGATTCGCTTAAAGATGGATGATACGAAACACGTTCATGTTGAGCTGAGTCGAATGTTGATACTACACTTGCAATAGCGGAAGTATGTGTTGTTGATTGTCGCAGCTCCGGACGTAGCTGTTGATTGTCGTAGGTGAATAGCTCCTTTGATGTTGCTTGCTCGGGTGAAGCGCTTTCAGGATAAGTAGAATGATCCGTGCAAACTGATTCAAATGTAAATATTGGTCTTGACTTAAATGTGGCTGTTCTAGATCTAATAGCAGATAAGTAAGTTGATCCGTACCTAGCACCACGCTCTGTATTTTGTAATGCAGAACTTGACATGATGCGTTCTGAATATTCATGGCGGTTAATAATTGGGTCTTTTGTTATTTCTATTATTTCTAAAGAAAAGCGGTTTGCAGATCATAGATGTTTCGAATAGTCGATTACTTTCTGCGGCTCAAATATCTCACTAAGGTAACCGCACTTGTTGAAACTTTTCGCTTCTCTATACTATAGTACTTACTTAGCAATTCACCTTCCTGCCTTCAGAAAGCTATCTGCTTTAGTTCTTTTTGGTCTTTCTACCTTCTTCCGACGCACAGTGGGCATCTAGGCGGACATTAGGTGAAAAATCGAAGTTGCTCCTTTTTCAAAAACAAATAATCTGGAATGTAGCCCTTGAAAAGGGCTATCGAAGGGTGTATAAATGTCTATTGTGATGTTCACTCCTTCGCAGAGAAAAACGGGTACAAAACAGTACTGTGTTATACTACTTTTAGCGACATCTTGAGAGTTATTTGTTCATTTTACTTGCTTCGTTGCAT